CCAGTCAGTACAACATTTTGCAACAGTGGCCAAAAAGGCAGAAGTTCGGTCTGCAGAGAGAGTCTGCAGGGCCTTTGTGAATGTTGGCTGTTACAGTTTAACACTCAATCTCTCATCAGACTCAGGAGCAATCCAATGAGATGAATGATTCTATCCCACTTCTGACACTTTACTGTGAAGTTATTGCCTAGAGCAGAACAAAACCTCCCCACTGACTGGAAAAGCTGACACCTTTATAGTGTACAAATCAACAAAAAAGAACACAAAAAGAACAATACACACCCCAGCGAGTCCAATAAACGGCTCCAGACAAACTCCACCACTTCACCGTAATCTGTTTGATTTTATCAAGCTGCATGAATTCTCCCACAATAACGATGAACTCGTGAGAGACAGGACTATCCAGTTTGACCTGATTCAATTTAACATCCTACACCTGTTAAGGATGATGATTATGGCTGGAAATGAAGGACCAAACAGAGGTTCAGAAAGTGATCCGTAACTAGGATGTATTACTATAAAAAGAAGGCCTTTTCAATGAAAGAAACAAATCTGCTGCTCATAAAGACTGAAATCACGTCAAAGTTATGAAAAATGTCGCCTCAAAGTGGTTCGGTCCACTTCCTTCCAACCCAAACTCCAACTGTCTCTTTTTTGTGCATCTGTTGTTGCAAAGCTTCAATGAGAAGCCGCTAAGCAACAGTTACCATTAATCAAAAGATGTGGCAGACATACCTCTCAATGGAATAAAACACATTTGAGGTTTTAACCATAGAGCATTTTGTCCCCTCCATTCGCTCTCAGATAGAACCGAGCCACGTCTCCTAAAGCTGGAGGTATTTTCAGGATTTCAATCATCGTCTTATATCAAATTTTTGCATGATTTTCAAGTGGTTTGATTTGTTGCACATGTCAGATGTGTAATGTTCCTCTTTGTCTGGCTGAAGATTTTACCCATAATGCACGCATAATAAATCTTCATGAGCCAAAGAGCTCTCCTGAAATTCTTGTTAATCATATTCTGGAGGACCAATCGCTCCGTCGGTCTCTTGGGGGATTTTAAAACCTTGTGCGCTGCCATCCTCTGAGGAGCAACATCCACTTGCTCATGCTTGAATTAAAGGTGAGGTTTTCAAAATCCCACAGCAAGGTTCTGCTGCTTTTGAATTCCTCAAGCCTTGAAACCCCTTTAGACTTAATGATAGAGGGAATCTGCATGCAGGAGAGGTAAACTGCTAGTGCAACATAATCACATTTGTGTGGAGCGTTTTAATGCCGGTAGTTTGTCTCCCTCTTCAGCACCCGCCTCTGCTCCTCTTCGGCTTTACGTGGCAGCCTTCCCCGTCCTTTCCTCTCCGTTTTTTCCGGGGCCGGGGCTGTCTGACGGCTCGCACTATGGATGGTCCTGTACACTGGTGGTCTCATTATTCAAGCTCTCTTGCCAAACTAGTCCCCCGGGAGGGACAGAACACTTTTTAAAAAGTGTCCTGTCACAGTGCCACGTGATTTGCATTTAGGTTAAAACCAGCCGGGACTCTTAAATCTTATTTATGGGTAGAGGGAACTCCTTGTTCACTACAGCATTGGGACATCAGTTATTGTCAAGCTAAACCTTGTTATCCTCTCACAATCATACACACACACACACACACACACACACACACACACACACACTACTCTATCAGGGTAAAAGCATTAAGTGTTTTGATTTGTAAACAAGTTATAATCTCTATTAGGGCTATGGCTATTATCCAGCATGCAAGTGCTTTTTTTGCCAGTAATCAGCGTAATGGGCTGTCCAACAAAGAGGGCGCTCTCTCACACTGAGGGACTCTTTTGCACGCACTTATGCATGCGCACAAAATATTAAAAGTGTCAGCTCTGAACATGAATTCTTTAAAGCAGGTTAGCGCTTACTTAGCGGATGCAGAGAGCAGGCCAGCCTTCTACATATGAATCATTCCAAGCCGTTTGCTGCATTACAAATGACTCACAGAGAAAAACTGAGTTCTCAAAGTTGCCGTTGTAGCACTGTTGACGATGACATCGATTTATGGTAAAGTTTGAATGCATTTGAAATAAATGGCTTTGTTTTGTACTTTTGTGAATGCTGTCCAAGGTTGTCCTGAGGCCAGGCTGTCACTAAAGCCTCTTTCATGCAGGATCACGAAGAAAGAACAGTTAACAATAGTCCATTTTCAGAAAAATGTTCTGTAATCTCTCATGTTCAGACAGACGCTTGTATTTACAATAAATACTTTCACAGTGTTTACAACCTATTTTGACCTTGTGAGCATGGCGGCCTTTGTTGTACAAAGCACCATCAAACCATCAAAAACTCATTGAAATGCTACTTTTTTGTTGCATTTTTTTGGAATCAAACCCTTTTGATTTAATTGTGGAGGGATGCTTTAATATGAGCGAAAGGGCAGCTGGAGCAGTTGGAGTTCTTGCTTGGGAAGAAACGGGAGGCGGTCGATAAATAAAGGCATAATATGCAGTGCTGTTTGGGTGGTAGCCAGACAGACTGAAAAAACATGGACAAAATCAACACACCGACTCCTTTATTGATTTCCCATAATGCATTACTGGCCTAGTTAACACCCATATCTTACTAACAACATGGCCCCGTTTTGTAGCGTCAATTATTTTATTTCAAAGGCCAAGCCGGGATAATCCCGGTGACATCAGGGAGGTTTTTCAGTCGTGAAAGAGCAACTTCAGACCCACAGAATAAATTCTGCAGCGGTTTTTCAGCGTGCAAGCACTTCCAATTACTAGTTAACTGGCCTTAATCTGTACCATCGATTCTTTCTCAGTCAACCAAGTATAAATCTGAGAGACAAACGTTGACATTTAATGATTTGTGTCTCTCTCTTCAAGCATTACGTTTGTGTAAAGACAAAGCTGACTACACAGATGACAATAATTTACAGCCCTGAATCATTTGAGACCCGCAGAGTGCAGGTGCAAATCTTGTGAAACCTGATCTGTGTTCCCAAAGTTTTGCACACTAAGAGGAAAAGCCTGTGATCAGCAGTAAAATCCTGCTTGCTGCTACACATCTCGGGCGGTAATCAGTGTAATGGTGCTGTGTGGCATGGGCCTGCCGGCGTTTAAATATAGAGCTCCACACAGAGCTGTGTCTAGTTTTCGGGGGGTTCTGATGCTTTACATTTGGACTCTGAAGCTGTCCCCTGGTTTTTTCCAAAAATAGGCCCATGTCCAAGACTATGTCTATGTGCTGGATCATTGGATCATCTTTGACAGGCCTAATCCTCCTGATTATTTGTAGACAGGTTTCCCCTCACAGCCTGACACATGAAACGTTGCATGGTCTGGACTGTGACGGGTTCTGGACTGTTCTCTGCTGGTGGGTACCCTCGGTGTAGCTTTATTATTTGATGGTCTGGACTGTACACCATCGGAGTTACTGTGATATATTTGGATAATAGATTAGTGGAGTGCACTGGGTCATGCTACTAATTAGTGTAATTGTCTGTTTCCGTGGCAGTGGTTTCCAAAGTGATCCATCAGCTGTATGAGGATGCCCAGTTCCTCCTGCCCCTGAATGGTGGCTTACACAGGCCCTATGTGCACATTTCTAATTAGAATTTTCCAACAGAAAAAGAGACGCTTGAAAGCAATTATTATAACTATGATCCTGTGTACAAACTATAAATATTTCATACATAATTACTTCAACTATAAAAAGAACTATACATTCAAATACGTCAGAGTGGAAAAAACTTTGTACTCTGATAAATCTAATACTTTCAGACGTGATGAAAAAAAAGAGTTGACTTTGATGAGTTAAATATATGGAAAATAACACATGCAAAGCAAATTGTCCCTTTTCATCTCACATGTACCAAATTTAGTAAAATGACAAATCTGGCTATCTTAAAACCCAAAAACCTACTGAGTAAAAAATGCTTTTCTTTAGGTTAATCCAGAAAATATGTGTAAATCTTTTATATTCGACTAAATGTTTTCAGGAAGTTGAGAAGAGCTGTAATTGATATCTTACCTCTCGATGTGCTGTAACACATCTGTCCAAAACCTCTGAATGAAATACTGTTCAGCTGTGAGGAGAATGCTCAGTGATGATGTTTTTCTGAGATTAAACCATCAAATTGACTATTTACTGGGTATCGTAAAGCTCCCCACAGAATCCACAAAGTCTTGTAAATCACATGAGATGCATTCATCTCCAGCAGGAGCCGACAATGGTGCTGTTGTAGCAGTTTGAGATTTTTAGTCACCCTTTTTCTGATTCATGTCTCCCAGTACTGCTCATGAATCATGAGTTTGATGCATCTTTGCTGCTCCTCGTATTTACATAACAGAATAGCAGCCATTAGGCTCGGTCATGCATTCATAAGGCTTTCCATTCCAGCACTGTGTGTGCTCCACTGTACATCGCTAATATTTCACGCAGGCTGTGGGGGAAGCTATTGTCTGGGGAGCTGAGGTATGACATGAAGCACACTGTTTCTCATGCTTCGCCGCTTCCATAAAATCACTGTTTACTCATCGTTATCTCTTGGGTTTAACCATTTTTGTTGTTTTTTTCTCACTTCCCATCGTGGAAGCAAACAACGGCACCTGTTAGAGCGGTTTCTGGTTTAGGGAAAGAAGGCAGTGTGGAACAGAGCCGTTTCATGATGATGGTGACTGGATGGTTAATTGTGGTAACTGTAGCTTTTGGATTATATTGTGTTTTCTGACTTCCATCATTGTTCTTATATTGTTTTTACCTGTTGTTACAAACTTTTTCTAATCAGGTCGAGAGAACATGCTGTTTTGTATGATTTACTATTTATAAGGGCCCAGTAATTTGATAAATCCCATATGTTATTAATCATTTACCATTTTCTGCATTTGAGGCCTGATAAATGGAAAGAAACTGAGCTGAAACATGATGACAGAGCCTCAGCATACATATGGCGCCTCTCATTTTTGGCAAATGGCTAATATTCCAATAGATCTGCAGTTCAATGCGGATAACCAGGAATCCTCCACAGCGAGCTCATCAGTCGGGCTCCCGTTTGATGCTCTTCCTGTTTTGTCTGGCAGAGATCTCGGGGAACTCGGAGGACATCCCTCTGGTGCGCTGGCGGCAGCAGTGGCTGGAGAACGGCACTCTGCTGTTCCACATCCACCACCAGGACGGCGGCCTCAGCCTCCCGGAGCCAACCGAGGACCCGGCCAGCGACTCCACCAAGGAAGAGCTCCGCATCCTGCACATCTCTGTGATGGTAAATCCTCATTTTCTGACAGCAGGTCTTCACAAAGGAGCAGTATTGGCTCGTTTTATATTCATTATAGTAGGCAAGGGTTAAAATAATAAAGGTTGCCTCTCCTGAGGGGGACGCATCCTTATTGATTTTATATTTCAGTTAAGATTCCTGCCTTTGATTCTGAGGGAAACTATCTTTTCCTTCCTTAAGTTTTTTTAAAGGTTAAGTCAACAAGGTGTCAATTAAGGTGAAGCACCTCTTTGGCCATTTTCACAAATGTACAAAACATCTTCAAGTATAACACCTCTGTATGGCTGAGAAAACCTTTGCTTCAGTGCACCGGATGTCTCAGCTTGACTTTTTTTAAATCTGTCACTCACGACCTGCAATCAGACACTTTTAACAGAATAAGATGTCCTATAAGTTTAAACTCATGCTGGCATCCAGCTCCTGAACAGTAGGTTTTCCTAGTTATCAAAACCTTCCTTTTTGTACCAGGGAGGAGATTAAAGAGGACATGGATTTATGACATTCCCCACCAGATGTGGGATGTAGATGCTTGCTGGTGTGCACTGGATCAAAACCTCTGCAATGTCAACCAAGTAGCAAATGAATCCTCAGAACTCTCGTCGTCCTCCTCTTGCCCAAGGAAATGCATATTTATTAGACTCCAGATATGCCACACCTACTCCTATTGCCCTTTTCCAGCCCAGAGACATTACACGCATGCTTTGATGGATGATATGTAGTTTCAGTCATTGAAAGCATATTAGAGCTGCATACACAAATGATTAGTCAGCTTGAGAACACTTTTGCCAGAAGCTACATTTCCTGAACCGAGGCGGAGAGACGCAATTCTACACCTTCAGCCCTTGATATAGTGACAAATAAGTGGCCTTGTCCCGTCCTCTGCACGTGGCATGCATTAGCCAGCATCGGGTTGATGATCTGGGCTCTTGCCTGAAAGCTGCCAATGCACAGGCTCTATTTCCTTTCATATTTTTCAGCCCCGGCTCTATTTGTGTTTCACATCCCATCAGCCCCTCGGATGTGTCTTGGTGATTCCTGGTCTGCTAATTCCTCATCCTGAAAGTACTGCGGCGGTAGCGCGGGCTCAGAGGTGCTTTCAGGAGGCGCTGGGTTGAGAGGGATTAGCATTCAAATGTGAGCAGACCGTAGCGGCAGATGGAGGCCGGGTTGCCGCTGCGCTGCTCAGGCCCCTCCGCAGCCTGCCACCCAGCTGGAGGCCCGACCTATAAATCCAAAGCCGTGTCACTTGTTCAGCTCCTTGTGGACAGAGAAAAGGTCCTGTGAAGTCTGCTTTACAGGCTCTTTACTGGAACCCCAACACACACACACACACACACACACACACGTGACAGGGCCTTTTTACTGGATGTCAAAGGGACCGTGTTGGAGAGCAAAGATCATAAACGGGAAAATGTGAGGTGGAAAAGGCAGCTAAGACTGTGAAAATCCAGTTCAGTTCTTCAGATACATGTATGTTTTCATACCATAAGCAGCACAGATGATCAGATCATTCCAGCGTCCGGTTTAGGCTTAAGCATCATTTTGGTTTGCTTCACTCTACCAAACATTCCTGAAATGTACATGTCAGTACAAACGTCTGAGGGAAGAATCTCTTTGTAGCTGTCTCGCTTTTTGACATACGTCTGATATAATCATGGGCACGATTCTGAGCCACGCTGAGAAGAGCGTGTGCAGCTGATGTGGGAGAAATTTCTCTGAATGAAATGAACTGAAAAATCTATTTCAGACTTACAGTCTTATCCACCCACAAAGCATTCCTTTTATGAAATGTTTTCTCCAATCCTTTATTCACAATCTTTAGACATAATTCATAGTGTGCTCTCCTGTTTAGCATTCTAAACTGACATTTCATGTCTTTGGGCTCAGATATCCTGAAAATAGATTTATGGGAAGTGGGACCAAAAAGTCTTTTTTTCCTTTGTTCTTTTCTTTTTTGCGGGGCTCCATCTGACTTCTGTGACATGGCTATGTCTGCAGGGTCCCAAAACTGAATTTGGGCCCATTCTGGTTTTTAAAAGCCTAACTGAGCCCAGTGGGTGATGAAAAATGTGTTATCTGGATCTGACTGAAGACCTGGAGCAGCAGTATATATTTTACCTAATTCAGTCCATTGCTGACTGTTAAATACTCAGTTGCCAGTAGGGACACAACACTGCACTCTCTTTTTTCTCTGCACTATATTTGAGGCACACATAACACACTTGAACTCAAAATACTGACACAAATAGAAAAAGAGACACTTGCTGCTGTCTATTAAAAATAAATGCAGCACCGTCTTAATGGTGTTTGGCCTGTTCATCAGTCTTAAATTCTCAAACTCTATTTTCACTTTGCATGGATGGCAAGCAGATTAAATAATGTTGTTCTTTCTCCAGAGACTGCTAAATGTCACGCGTCTTTAAAAGTGTCGAAGGAATTACTATTTTATTCTGCAACTTGCATTTTTTACTTATTTGACGGTGTGTTTTGCAATCAGGAGTTTTCGTTTTATTCTTTATTTGAATCACAGACACCACATGCAGGTGGACTTGTGCCGGGCCCTGGTCTGTTGAGATGTCTGTCACAGATGATTGTCTGGCTATTCTGACCACCACAAGACCACTTTTCCTTAATAAATTAGAAAAGACTACAATGTTTTAAGGCTTGCAGAAAATGCAGAGAATGCATCACATATGTGATATGGGGACAGGAGAAAAGTAGTGTCCGTGTTTCTTGAGCCAGACTGTAATATCATTTGGTACTTTGGTTATTTTGAACGTAACAGACCACATGAATTTATCAATTGATAGAATTCTAATTTTCATCTTTTGGGCTGGTGTCCTTTGGAACTTTTGTCTTTATAGTTGGAGCTTTGCCATTCCACGGTTCAAACCCTCTCCCCTTGTAGTCTCATCCACAAGGTGACCATGCCGTCCGCCACTGGCTGCAGCTGGTCATCCATAATAGATGACCAACCTTGTGTATGTCTGTGTCAACACTATGTGAGAGAGTAGCAGTTCAAAAACAAAGTCAACATCAGCTTGTACTTTACAGGCGCAGAGCCACAAAGCAAATCCCCAAACTCTTGTAGAATTAATGAAAATAGATATTAAAACAGCATCATATCATATGTATAGCATTAGCGGGTTTTCTATGGAGACTTTTAAGCTCCAACATATTGTTGCTGTGCACATTTCTCCCATTTTAATTTCCAAATTTTAATCAGATGCTGTTTAGCTACAGGGCCTCGGTGGATCAATCCAATCAGCACATGAAGTACGGAGGCATCCAAACCATACAGAGTCAATTACATGATATGATTGCCTCATATTTTCAAGCTCAGGGTTAGATTTGATGTTTTTCCCCAGAGAGTCTATTTTAGCTTTATTGTTTTTCCTCAGAGTGGATGAAACACCTATTAAGTTAATCCAAACAGCATAGTGAAAGGCAAAGAAAAAAAAGTAGAAAGCTGGTTCAAGAAAGTGAAGAGATGAAAAAATATCGTGGAGATCCTCTCAGACGCTGACAGGTTTTGGACGCCGTTGACCCTCTACTGACTCCCGGTTCACGGTGAAGAAGAGCTTAGGCTGGGAAGGAAAAAACTAAATTAGACGACACATTGTGGCGTGATCAAGCCGTTAGGAGCAGGAAGGATGTCGTTTGATGGTAACGACTACAGATACTGCCGGGCTGGAGTTGGGTTTTTAGGGAGCTTTGTGTGGGCTGGAAGACATCAGGTTTAACGGTTTGTGTTATAGCAGCAGCATCAGTCTGATCAGCCTCCTCTCCTTAATGGGTTTATTACCAGATCCTGGATACTAATTAGAAGACATGCTAGGCACTTATTGTAGCTTAAGATGGGTGCTAATGTGACCAGACTGAACACCCTGCAGGAACGTCCAGTTCCCGTCTCTGGGGTCAATCACCACAGAGACTCCGGTCATGTTGTGTCCTCTACTGGACTTTTAAGAATTCGGCCTGGGAAAAGCAGTTATTTTTCAGAGGGATTTGCCCCTCTGAGTGTATTAGGACAAAGGAGATATCTGTTGTTGTTTCTACAGTTAAAGCTTTGATGGCAGATGGAGGAGGAAATCTAAGTCAGACAGTCAGGCAGGGAATAGGAAAATAAAGCGTAGTGGGGTATATGGCCTCACAATGTGCCCTGAGGGACCTCTCAGTGCTGTTGATCACATTTGTTGTTTTAAATGTTGCCTCTCTCTGATGCATAAGGAATATTTTCCCAGCAGTAATTGTCGTCCGTTCACAGGTGTGGGCAAATACATTAGATCACTATCCAGGACCATGGCCACACTGAAGCTTTGTCCAAACCTCTGAACCCACACGTCTGAGGCAGGAATGTCCAGGTCACTGTGGTCATTCTGACGCTGCTCGGCTCGTCAGATATCGACACGGTGACCGTCCTTACATCTGTCCAAATAAGCCCTGGCCACTTGTAAAGCAGACACCTCTGCTCACGCCGGGTCTCCAGAGATGCTCTCAGAGCATGGCGTGTTTCTGAAAAGCCTGGCGAGCGAGGCAGAGCGATCCATAGCTTCCCTGTGGGCAGCGGAGACAGCACACATCCCAAACACCAGCTCTGACCGCTCTGATGCAAACAAGGGCTGGCTTCAAAAAGCAGGAGGACAAATGGAAAACGAAAATCTCTTTGAATAAAAACACGGCCTCTCTGTTCTTCCAGCACTAACTGATGAATTCACTCAAATAGGATCTAATTAAGTGCGTTCTGTGAGAGCTGTCTGTGTAGACTCCACAATAACTATGAAGCTTGTCACCTTAAAAAAGAAACTGTCAGCATGAGCATTCCGAGCTAACACTCAATTGTTCTTGTCAATTCTCCCTCGAATCTTTCTTCATTTCTTGACTATTTTCAGTGTTCCAGCAAACACTGGACCAGGTCTGTAAATCATGTATTCTCCAACGCACATTTCTTCTTACAGCTTGGGGAGCAAACAGTTAAACGGACCTGACATGATCCGAGTATTGAATATTTTCAGCCCTCAGTGGAGATTTAAAGAGCAGCATCTAATAAAGCAGGAAGCATGCTTATAATAAATTAGACTGGCAGAAGGGCTGGGATGCTGCATGCTGCTTTGTTGGTTTATAGCTTCTTGGCAAATGGGAAAGATACCACCCGTTTCTTTGTTAACCTTACCACAGTTAAAAGGTAAAGCTCAATGACGTAAAAACTTGTTTATATGTTCATTTCTAATGTAACTTCAATTTAAAAAGCAGGACTTGGTGTCTGAAAGTGCTGCATGGTAGACCTAGGTGACACAGCATGAGCCAGGCTTTTTCCAATGCTCCCTTTTTTGCAACTGAAAAATGGAGGTGGGTTGAAATAAGGTGCTGCTGATAAGGTGTCTCAACAGGTGAAACAAGTTCCTTTCAAGTCACTGAAAAAAATCATGTTACAATGGCTATGGCTATGTCCTGAATTTGGATGCCAATTCCCTTTCATGGAACAAGACATCCTGTCTCACCTGAACTCAGCAATCATCAGAGTCCCTGCACTGGATTTATGCAGAACACCCACCTTATTATTTTTCTTGCACTCCCCCGTAAACTTCTCAATTTCAGAGTATTTGCAGAAACACTGTGAATTGCTAGCTCTCATTCTCCACCAGCAAATGAATTAGTCACACACCAGCGAGTGTAAAAATGAGTTTTGGATTTGTGCTGATGAAACTCTGGGACTCAGGAATTTGAAGCAGTTTGACATTTCAGCCAAAAAAAGATCGACGCCTGCTTCATCTCAAATAAAGTCAGATCTTATGTGTTAAATGGTCAACACGAGAGGAGGCGTGAAGAAAAGGGGGCTGCAGTACACAGTCTTTTAAGCCAGCTTGGTTCTTAGATAAGGCTCTCTGTCTGTCAAACAGCAAACACAACAGCTCGTTTGAACAAGAGCACGCTGGAACTGGTTTACATTCACAATAGCACGAGTACTCAATCTCATTGTGTCGAAGGGGCAAGATGGGAGTTTAACCCCTCCATGACCTTATGGCAGTGCAGCCAATAGCAGCGTCACGCAATGAATACAAATGCTCTCAGAGGTACTGGCTTGTTTTCATTTTGGAATTGGCTTTACAGGTGGACTGCAAAGTTACAAAGCATCTGGGATTTTTTAAAATCTATTTCTTTCATAGCACACTTTTTTCTTTTTGTGTCAAATCAAACTGGAATAGAATAGAGTGAAGCAGAATTATTTGTGAATGTGAGCAAGTTGCGATCAGGTTTTGGTAAATGTGGTATAGTTGGTCCTACCACGGTGTGTAGACATTACAGTACAAATGAATGCTGGGCTGTATCAGACAGATCATTATGCAGTTATTGAATTCACACTGATATTAATCCTAAGGCAGCTTTTCTGAAAACTACGACTACGTTATCAAGTTACATTGTCCTTAAAAAACCAGCCTGTGCAGCTTGTTACAGTTGAATGGCCTTTAGCTAAAGCACATAAACCATCCCAGCAAGTGGTGGCTCTGAAGCACCGTCTTTGTTTAGCTCCGTTTGGGTTGTACTTTTCCTTGTCTATAAAGTACTGGACTCATACTTTTGATTTATTTTATTTTTTTTCACATGGCAATACCTTCATTTGAATCACGCCACACATGGATGGCAGCATTCTGTGTGGGGACGCAGAATAGAGGCAGGGAAAAAAGTTTAACATAAAGTGGTGAAGTGCATTTGTCTTGTTTTTTTTGTGTGTGTGTGTGTATGTTCCATCTACCAAAGTCTCTTCTTTGGTTTAATGACTGTTGGCAAGGAACATCGTTGTGCATAATGGCCACCAACTGGGAGGGAGTGTGGACTCCAGATTCATTAAACCGTGGGGTGTCCCCAGTGTTTGTTTAGTTGCTTTGTCACCACCTGCTCTCTGTACTTGAGCAGCACACCTGCAAACAGTTTTCTGATCACCCTCAGCAGTACGAAGCCTGAACTTCCTCTCATCCTGATCACATTATATCATCAGTTCTTTAAGGCTGCTGCTTAGCTGTTTTCTTTCTTTGTGTGTCAGCCTGTCCAAAAACCCGCTTGTGTGGATCGTGTATGAATGAGTTTACTATATATATATGTATATATGTACACACACACACATATATATATATATATATATATATATATACACACACATACCATCTTTTTTCCGCCAATTCCAGTAACATGTAAAACCCTAATAAAATTACATTAATTTCCCATTGCGTCTCTCGGTCCAACTATCATGGCTTTATACCATATTAGCTTTTATGAAATTCACCAAATTGAATGAAATTATGTAAACGCATTCTCTCATTAATTCTCATATCCAGCAGTGGAACCCTTGTGTGGCATGTGTGAAATGGGCTTTTGACTTTCACATTTGTTCAATGACAAAAATTAGCCCCAGATCATAAAGCCCACTGCTAACAATCTGAGCAGTTCAAATTCATGTGACATTAAATCTTAGACTTCAATCTTGGATTCATGAGCAGTGTAATAGCAAATGCACAAAAGAATGGATCTACTATTTGAACACTGTCACTTCCCATCATATCGCTGTGACCTGATATCGAATTCAATCACAGACCCTTCTGCGAAGACAAAGTTTATTATAATCTAAGCAAAAAACTTCCTTTGGCTATCTTGTAGCTGTCAGATAGTCCGGATCTTTCCGCCCTCCCGATTCGTTATGCCTGGCATCCAGAGACTAAGTGACAGATTGATAGCTCAGCTTTAATACCCCGTCCTGCTCTGTCAGGCTGAGAAAGGCCATGTCTTCCTCCTCCATTCAGGACTACATGATGGGAGTGGAAGTCATAAGGAGCACTGGTCCCATTACAACATCATCCCCATCCGTTAGTAAGTGGATTATGGGGCTGGAGCACTGACATGCCTCGATGTGTGGTTTGGTTTTATTGGCAATATAAGAGAACACACTCCACTTAGTCCCTGCTCTGATTCCATGTAATGCTGGCGTTAAACATTTTTTTTTTCCATCCTGATGTCCGATGTTAGCCCCTCTCTATGCATGGGTGCTAATACGGGCTGATAGGTTTGAATTACATTTGTCACAGAGGTTGATTTGATTGAGAACCTTTTAAAGTACTTGACATTTGACATCTTTTTCTACTTTACTCAAGAAGGAGTGAACCGATGTGGAGCTTTCCAAGCCAAGGTTTTCCAAGGTTTTACCCATTAACAAGCATCAAAATCATTTTCCAGCAATTCAGTTGATTCATAGCAAACAGTATTGAGTTGTAATGTGTTTTAGAGCACCTGTGACATGTCTCTGTTACATTAAAGAGGAAAATATGATTTCAGAATCCAACAAACTTCCGTTATGTATGCGACAGACCCACCATAAACACAGATACCCTCACACCTGCTAACCACCACACCCCAGCATAGATTTCAGCTAAACACGTTGGAAAATGATCCCACAAACAATTTTCGTTTGGTAATTAACATATTATTTAAAGTGAGATCTGAGAAACTTCCCAAAACAATCAGGCTCCTTGGAGTGTCTCTATTGTTACAGTCCCTGTTTGAGTGCATTAGGTTTGGATGGGGGCCTTTGGGGCCCTTTGGGGGCTCCACCATCTGATGCTCTAAGCTCCTGGTTCCTGCTGCTGGATTCAGCTTTTATACTAACAGCTGCATGTAAGGTCTTATTGTCAGCCAGCAGAATTGATTTGGGACATAATGCAGAATCTAACTGTCTTAAATTTATGCATTAGCTTGTTCCATGGTGAATTCAGAGCAAAGTTACTTTTTGAAACTATTTTGAATGAATGTTTGCAACTTGTTTGCATGAATGATATTAAAGCACTTTGTTTGGCTCTGACCGTCTTCTTTACTGGCGTCGTCTGATCTCCTTACAATCAAACACATGTAGTCTCCTAACATTTCCGCCAGATACTGGTACTTAAAATAATCCTGCTAGTTTTTTTAGCTGCTGTTTTCTGGGATAGCGAATGAGGATCTTCATCTGGTGACTTTCAGAGGAGCACAAATTGAATCCCTGCAAACAGAAGATTCAGGCCCACCTTCTCCCCACCGTTGATGCAGATTTAAGTGGCCCATATCATGGTGTCATTTGTTAATGTCCTTGACTGTGCAGATTAAGCAAAGTATGCAAATGTGGCTCTACTTGTGCCCATGAGGGTTCCTATTCAGCATGTTTGAGATGGGATGCTGTGTGTAATTTACCAATTAAACCCCATTTCATCATGTTTGTTTGTCTTTCTATGACTTCATTGTTTAATTTGTTGATGTTGTTTTTTTTTCAAATGTACCACATTTCTATACATTTGAAGACAGGTTTTACATATTTGGAAAATAAAAAATTGTCACTTTTTCACTGAGGTGGTGATGTTACACTTTGCTGCAGGGAGAACTTTTCAAGTCTGTTTGTTCTAATTTCAGCGTTTTCTTACTGTGAAGCATTCATCTGCTGTTTTAAATAGATCCATCCCAACATTGCTGCCGTCTGTCTCCCTGACATTTCCATAACTCTTTCTGACATTTTCCAAATTGCAACATGCATCTGATTTTTAGTCATTAGATTCCACCAAGCTGCAAGTATCAATTTTAAGGATGAATAAGAGGAAAATTACGTACTGAACATGAAATGTGTCCTCAAGTTTGGTCAAATGCGAGTACTCTAACTCCAAATGTCAGCGACATTAGGAAATCACGGACATCATGTTGAATAAGGAAATAAAATGTCATCATTGCCTGGACTCACAAAGGAAGCATCAAACAGAGTAACTCTTACACCTTCCTGTTTCCACAAGCTGTGTGCCTTTGACTTGCCTCCACTTTGATCCGTATCCTGCTTCCTGGCATGGTTCTCGGACTCTGCTCTGGCCTTTTGGGCTCTCTGTTGGACTCTTCCTCTCTGGCTGGCTCACGCTCTCCTCTGTTTCTTTTAGATTCTGTGGCTGTCCTCCCCGCTAACCTGTCCTCGGGGCAGAGTCATCGCCCTTCATCTGTCCATCTTGCACGATCTTGCAGCCCCTCTGTGGGTGTGGATGCTGCTGTGTCAGTTTAGCCCTCAGTCTCATAAGTTATTACTGTCAGAGCAGAAACCAGCGGAACGGAAACTCTCCCCTGACCCCAGCCGGCCATCCACATCGGCAACTCTGGGTCTTCATGTAAAATACCAGTTGATTTTCACTCATAATTGACTCATATTTTCTGGGCTGTGAGCACAGATGGAAGTTAGATTCAGGCTTTTGAAAGAAAGTTAGCATCAGCTATGTGGAACCGCCTCATGCTGCCAGGAAGATCTCACACCTGAGCTGAGCACAGCAAACTAAAAAAAGCCCTTTTATTTTTTAGACACTTCCTATGTGTGAACTTACCTGTTAACTGTTAACCCTCTTTTGGAGCCTCCATTTTAAACATGTCAAAGACACCAGATGGCAAAGGCACCTGGAAACCAAAACAAGAAATGTGACACGAGTCTCACCTTTCCTTTTTGTGATTCCTGTGGGACACTTTCAAACCTATACATACCTCTCAACTGTTTCTTCAAAATTTGAAAGCAACCACCTGAAACAGAAACAAAGCAAAAACAAAAATGGATTTAAATCTTTGCATTTTAGAGTGCTAGATGGAGAATATGCAGAAAATATAGTGAGACACAATTCAGTAGTCTCCTAAAAAGAGTAGATTTGGGAATATGTGCTTTTATAGCCTGTAGTTATCATTTTAATTGTCCTCAATAAAGTCCATCTATTTTTCAAACTGTCCAACATTTGCTTTGGTAGAAATAGGTCAAGAGTCATACTTGGAACATTCTCACTCTTAGCTTGGAGGTGAAATGGTTAGCATCAGCAACCGTTAGCAACCGCTATCCTTTTCAAACACTGTAGGCGTTATTGGCCAAACTCTAGCTGCAACTATTTTCAAATCCTGCTCTTGGCTTCGTGACATTGAGTTTGATCTATATTCTACTTGGCAGGATTATTTGACTGTTCCTGCCTTTGACTATCTGCTCTCTCTCCCCCGGTCCCTCTCTCATCCCTCCCTGTTTTCCTCTGCTCCACATGCCACCTTCCCCCCCTCAGGGCGGGATGATCGCCCTCCTGCTCTCCGTCCTGTGCCTGGTGCTCATCCTCTACACTCGCAGGCGCTGGTGCAAACGCCGCCGCATCCCTCAGCCCCAGAAGAGCGCCAGCGCCGAGGCGGCCAACGAGATCCACTACATCCCCTCCGTGCTGATGGGGGGGCAGGCCAGGGAGAGCTTAAGGAACTCCCGGGGCCAGGGGCCAAACTCCAGCGGGACCCTCAGCATCCGGGAGACACCCATTCTGGACGGGTACGCACACGGCGGGCTGGGTCTGGGGAGCTGTGTGTAATCTGAGAGGATCAAATGAACTGAAATGAAATGGAAATCTGAGGAGAAAACACATGAAGTTTGTTGTTGCACATTTTGTCCTCACTGCACAATGTTTGCATGCATCGTCTGTAGTAGGTTTAAGCCTTAAGCATGTCAGGTTTACCTTAAAAGGGTAATGTGACACTTAGAAATATCCATCAAAAACAAAAACCACATGTGAGATTGTTTTTTCTTTAGAAACTTTAGCTAACGCAGTGCCCTCTCCTCCCAGGTATGAGTACGACATCACGGACCTGCGTCACCACCTGCAGCGGGAGTGCATGAACGGGGGGGAGGAGTTCTCCAGCCAGGTCACGCGCACTTTGGACTCCCTTCAGGGCTGTAACGACAAGAACAACATGGACCTCACTCCTGGTAAACCGTCTGCAGCAAACAGCAGAAAACACACTGAACACGGAGCCCTGTGGAGCTGTTGTGCGTCAGGGTGACACAAAGACTGCACAGGGTCACCTATAAAGGAATGTTGACTCTCTAAAGCTGGCGTAGTGTTTCTGGCCGTTAACCCTTTTTCAATAATCAGGCATTAGTTCTGTTATGAGCAGTGGCGGCCGGCCCATAGGGGGCGCTGGGGCGCCGCCCCCCCTAGATGTGGAGGGGGAAAGTTATAATATATATATTTATTTTTAAAGTATTATCAATGTCAGTTTTACTTAATAATATGTGGCTACATGTAATATGAATTATTAAAACAACACTTCCCCCAACTGACTCTCATTCAACGGTGCATTTTCACCCACAGAACGTATCGTCTCTCTTCTGGGGCGCTAGCCCCAGCGCCCCAGAAGTGCAGCGAAATAACCAATTGAAAAATGTTGCTAGGGACAATTAATAAATATTTGGCCAATCAGCATCGCCGAAATTATTGGCTTTGGGGCGCTTGGAGCTGGCGCCCCAAAGCCATAGACGTGTAGCTAGTGGTCAGTCAGGCTGTGACGTAGAGATGACGGTTGAAGAGCTGCTTTCACACAATTCAGTGAGATCTTTACTGAGATCTCCTTACGTGAGAAGGACAATGGTGGAAAAATTAAACGTAAAGAAGCTGGGACCTGACAAGTCCGAAATAAATTTAACGCAGCGAACCAATGAAAAAGCTAAGTCCCACAGCCGGCCTTTTAGCAGGAGCTGGTTCCAGCGTGAGTCCTGGTTGACAGCCGGTGGGACGGCCAACGCAGTTATGTTTTTCCCGCATCCTTTTTAAAAGTGACCGGAGTGATTTGACGTGGACACAGTCTGGACAGACAGACTTAAAACACCTCTCTGAACAACTAAAAACATGAAAGATCACGAGGTTATATGGAAAACTGTGTTAAGCTAACTGTGTTAAGCTAACCACCTGTGTGTCTACTTTGTGTGTTTGGTGAAAAATAGTAAAATTGAGTGTTGTATTTCATACTGTTCCCTTCCAAAATAATACCTAATATAGCTTCAAATGGTTAACTGTATATGTAAACTGCTGATTCTAATAAGGGAATTAAATCATTATTGTGGAATTGTACTAATTTTACGACTTTTAACTTGAATGCATGTACTGAGTTAGGCAGGGAAATATATTGGCACACCAGCCCCACCAAGATTTTTTTTCACCAGCCGCCACTGGTTATGAGGCAGTTTTTCGTGTCTTATTGAGAAAAAGGGATTTTCCTTCTGTTCAGCGATACCACTTTGAATAAAGGAACGTGTGAAAAAGGTTACATTTGAAACTGGCTCAGGTATAATTGCAAACACACTGTGGTGATGCAGTCTTACAGCATTTTTCAGATAATTAGATTTTTCTTAGTAAAATAAATTTTCTTTTCTCTCAGAGGTTAAAATTGATATAAACAGTTATAGGGCAAAAACATTACTTAAAATATAATATACTAATATGGAGTCTGGAAGTGCTTTGACTGGATGAAACAGCCTTATAAATGGGTAGAGAGGACAAAAGCGCCTCCATTTCAGGTGTTTTCATCAACATCAAGCCAAAAACTTGTATTCCTTTTTCATTTTTATGAAAATGTACATTTTCATAATCGATGGAGGTTTGTGCGGGGCACCACCCACATTAGCAGCTTTTGTATGAGCTGCAGCTGTTTGGAGGCAGGTTCACCCGGCCTATTTAAACAAAACATCAGCTACAGTGTTCCCATAAAATTAGAATAGTCCAACCCCAAAGCTAATGGAAACAGAGTAACCCTGTGTGCTTTATATTTAAAATGGGTAATACAATGAACCAGAGAAATGGAGCAGGCCATGGTGGGAATAATGATGTATGAAGGGGTCATTCAAAAAATGTCATTTGGATGTTTGTTGTCTGCTTTGACACTTATTATGATTATTATACCAAAAAAATGATTATTTGTATTTTTCAGCTTTCTTTCATCATATTTTGTAACACAAACAAGAAAAAGCAAAATCTGGTGTAATGCTTTTTGAAATCCGATGCAATTTAGTTCTCCATCTCTGGTTCCTTCTGCATAGCGTTCGTGTCAATCCTGGTCCAGTTAATCTTCAGAAGTTGTGTATTCATACATTTTTAAAGAGGAAGCAGCACCAAACTGAAAATAATGAATGCAGTGGATGCTGGGTGTAGACGTGAGCGACGTCTTCCTGCCTGCTTTAGTCGGCGGGCTGACGGGGCTCCAGGCCCGCTCAGCTTCTGTCGTCCTACACTCAGTCAACCCCCCCCCACCCCCCCACCCCCAAAGGCAGCACAACCCTGTCGGAGCTGTTCCAGGATCTGCTCTGAGAGAGTGAAACAGGGATGCTACTCACACTAAAATGTTTATTTGGAGGATTTTTCAAGAGTAATTATCCTTTAAAGGATAGCTGTATTGCAGAAATGTGCAACTTTAACAGTCTTATTTCTCCTTGGAAATGCCATCTGTGAATATTTACAGAAATAATTATTTCCCCCTCAGAGTCTCTCGTGTGCTTCTTCTGTTTCCTAAATTAGTTTTCATTTCATGCCAGCTTTGCTCACTCTTTAATTGAGATCGTTAACGTTGTTTTTTGGTAAATAAGGACCTGGAATTGTTTTCCAGGAGCTGCTGTACTACAGTGTGGTTGTCAGGAACTTCAATATTCGACTAAAACCTTCGATTTTTCAAATGGGTCGTCTCTCTTTTTAGTGGAAAAAGCCTTCTGTTGGATTTCTAGCTCCTATTTCTCCTTTTTGTGCTCATGTCCTGCTTTTCCGCAGTGAGTGACAACACCAAGTTGGCCCTGATGAACAAGTACAAGGACAACATCATCGCCACCAGCCCCATGGACAGCAACCACCAGCAGAACACGCTGCTCCCTCACAACACCTCCACCAGCCAGCGCAAGCGGCTGTCCAGCAACACCCGCGGTGAGTCAGCACCATCTCAAACACTTTCACATGACGGCTTTCATTAAGCAGAGGTTGGATTTCTTCCTGGCCAAACTACAAGTAGTTTGGAAGTGAGAGATAAGCGGGTTTAGTCTGGAGCCTCCAGGTTTGAGCAGCTAACGGCCGCTCAGAGCTGGTGTTGCAGGGAAATGCTGCACATGTCCAGGCATGTTTTATATCTTCTTTTCTCAGTTAATTAACAATTGACCCTGATGTTAGCGTTATAGCATCCATCCCAATCCAGCATTTGGAGGCTAGATTTGGAATACCGTCTTCAAACCGTGTTTTAAATCATACCTAAAAGTATTCGATGTCGGAGGTCTACCATAACAAGGACACCAAGATGAATACTTTTATGTGCCAATATTGAAGGATCAGATAAAATAATAGATAAATGAAATTCTAAAATAGTAAAGATAAAAGAATATGAAATTATTTTGAAAAGTATTTTGGAGTGCAACTATAACCTCCTAAATTCATGTTGCCAAAGGACTGCATGTTTCTTTACTGATTCTGTTTCAGAAGTTGAATTTAAAAGAGAAATAAAGAAAAAGTATTTGAGATGTTGCTGAGAGCAGATGATGGTAAAACTGAAGGTTTTTTGCTTTGCAAATTATTCAGAATGTTTTTACATTTATTGTTGAATATAATTACAGTGCAGTGAACTCTGATGTTAACGATTTCCTTTTGGAAAATATATTAAAGTTTCTTGTCAGGAATAACACGACAAGATGTAAGATTTCAGCTTCTCAAAATAAAATACCTCCTGCATAGCGTTTCCCATCTCATTGTCAGTATGTGACAAGTCTGGACAGCAGGAAGTCTAATTTAGCAGCCAGGCTCCTTTTCTTTGGCACCCCGCTGCTTTATTATGTGCAGAAAGTGATTTGACATGGAGTTGCAGAAAGTCCTTGTCCTCTAAAGACGTCCTGTGGCCAGCAGCATATGTTCCTCCATCATCTGTATATTTCACTGATCATCAGCTCTGGCTCCACCGCGTCCCTCCTGCGGTTTCCGGTTGCTCTCAGTCCACCTTAAATCTTAAATGAGCTCGGTATAAAGGTTATATGTGGCTCTTTTCTCGTCTTGGTGGAACTCTTAACATGGATGGGGAGATCAGACAAAAAATATCTATTCTCTGACAGCATCAATTTCTGTGAAATGGAGGTTTTCAAAGATGGTGCCAAATGACTTTAGAGTGGGAACACAGGTTTGTCTGGATCCTCACAGTAGATTCAAAACTCATCTGACATGAACGTGTTATTCTCAAGCAAAAACAAATGAGTCAAAGAAACCATTAAAATTTGAAAAACAAATAAAAAAGCGAAAATTAGAACACTGTCACACACTGTACCATCTTAAAGGCAAATATCTTTAGAAACATTATAGAATGTGTGACGAATAAGTATGTTTTATATTTTTATTTTGTTTACTGACGTCTTTTTTCGGCAAACTTTTATGAATTGTAACAGTTTGTCCTTCACTCTTTCCACTCATCTCATCCATGTTTTCCACTTGTGCTCCTGCTGCCATTTTCACAGCCACCCGGCTCTTATCTTTCCCAAACTGTTAGAATCTCATGTATAAGCAGGGACTGAGCAACACAGGAAATGAAGAAAGAGACAGGCTACAGGCAGTGAGCTGGACAGCCTTGGCTCTATAATGATAAACAGAAGAAATAGAAGGCAGCAGCGTTTAAAAAAATGTCATTTTGGAAATGTTCAGTTGACCTCAGAACATAATTCACTTTCCTCCACACTTGGCTGCACTGATGCTTTATTTTCAACCCAATTAAAGCCGATTCTGTGGGGTTAGATGCTCCAGAAGAAAAAATAAAAAAGGGACACAAAAAAGTTCAGAGAATAACTTATTTTCCAGCGAAGAGACAGAATACATGTAATTCAGAGATTGTCTCCAGACTAAAGGGGAAACTTGTAATTATATTTCAATACGGACAAGTTTTCTTGGCCAGCCCATATGTATTTGTGATACGGGTCATTTTAATTATGTTTCATTCACAGTGACTGGAAACCCGACATAAATCTGGGACATATTGGTTTATAATAGTAAAAAAACCTTGGTTGCAGTGCCAATCTCAGTGCATTATGGATTTTCTAGGCAGTGAATACAGCTGGAATCAGAGGGACTGAAAAAGCAAAGACTTTTAATCTGTAAAAAACAGTTAGATAACGACCAAATGTCTCCAAATAAATCCTGCAGAGCTCAAAACCAGCCACTGCTGGCTCCTCAGAATGGTGGTTAGTATAAAGTTATACCAAAACACTCAAAGTCCTACATCCTGAGGGAGTTTTATAAGATGACTTACGCGTTGTGTCAAAACAAGGGAAGACAAATCAGTGAATGGAAGCAATGGTCCTCACACATCACAGGTATTCACAAAATAACTTACCTTGGCCATTTTTTTAAAAGTGCAAAGAAAATCTGAGGATGTGTGTGTTGGTCGAATGTTTGCAGACCATGCTAGTGATCTGTTCTTTTGCTGAGCTTCTATTGTCTTCTTGTCTCCTCTCATTCTTGTCATTTCTTTCCAGTTTTGACAGAAAGCTGCCCAGTTCAAAGACATCTCAGACAATAAAACTGAATCAATGTCTCCACATTTATTTGGTTCCATTTTCTTTTGAATGCAGGAAAACATATTCAGGAGGGAAATACTGAGAAGAAAAATAACCATCCTGTGTTCATTAAAATGCTGAGTCAGTGGTAAAGTAGCAGCTAGGTGTTGGAGAAGTACCGGCTTTGGCATCTAAAGGCAGGAAGTGCCTTCACACAGACACAGATATGCACACATACTTTCTCCACTTTGGAAATATAGAAAGCTCCCAGAAAAATAAAAGTATTCTCCAAAGCCTGCTGCACAGAAATGAGTTTGTCTAAGCAGATATCACGTCTGCTTCATGTGGGTCTGAGCTGCTGTTGTTTGGGTTTCCAGCCAAAAGCTTTTCCATAGGACATGCACACAGAGGCAGTGTGCTGCTTATGTAGGTGTGCAGAACAGGTAAGGAACCCACACTTTCTCTTTTTGAGTAACAAAACAGGCCATATAGCCTTTCTTGCACCCCACATGTTCACATTTGATCAACTTTTGAGTCAATTCTAAAGTGGTAAAAGATAAGGAATCTGTGAGATGAGCTAGGCTGCTGTGGGTTGCTTTTAGTATCTAATGATAGAATGAATGAGCTGTTGCTGAGTGTGGGGTAATTTGGTCCTAATTAGCTGGTAAGCATGTAAGATAATTAATAACTAATTTGTTGGATAAGGTCACAGTAACGCTGACTTATTTTGTCTCTGCATTGCTAACTCAAAGTGCCATCACCAGTATCATTTATATAAAAAGAATAATGCTCTAGTAGTTACAGACTTCTTCATTTTGAGATTTTCATTGTTTTGCATGGTTCAGCTTTTGCTTTCAACAGGCACATTGAGGCCATTATCAACAGATCTGCTTTTTTCTAGGTGTGAATTAGCATCATTGCAGCAGAGTGGAGGAGCCCTCTATTGTGTGTTTCTTTTCAGAACGTTCTCATTGTAATGACTTACAGAAAGGAAAATAAAAAGCCTGCACATTGTAGATGCCTCTGTTGTGCATGGATTTTGACAGGGTTGTGTTGTCTCAAATAGAATAACAGAAATTTAATTTGCAATTGTTACACTGGCTGTCACATTTCAGAAAGGCTTTTAATGAAATGTTCTCGAGTTTCTCGGCACATATTTGGTTGTACAGTGCAGATGCTGAATGTCACACATGGAAGGGATGCAATGCTGAGTTAGCATCCATTAGCATTAGCAGAAGGCTTCACCCAAAAAGCGGATTTCTTTCTCAATCCTGAATGCAAAGTTTTTCTTTTAATAATTTCAAATGGTCTCAAGTTATAATAGTAAACACCCTGCAAAGACTGCATTTTTTGTGGTCCTTCAGGTTAGTCCTTTTGTTTTAGTGAAATATAAATAGTCACTCTCTGTTATTTGATCTGCATTCCAAATCAGTTTCACCTAAATACCCTATTTCATCACCATCACATAGCACATAAGGACATAAGGTCCTATATGGAAAGCTTTATTGTCTGTTGTTGTTATTGGTTTATTGTTTATCAAAAATGAACCACTTGTTCCTTTTTTTTCTTCAGTTTAATTGAATGAAGGTGAGAAGTATGTGTACAGATACTCTAGGTGTCTTATTATTCATGTTTGCTTATTTAAGTGCTGTGAAGCTTGATTAAACTCTCTCCTCTAGATTAACAACGAATGTGGTTTATTTTGGACAGTCTCTTGAACCCATCCTCCTCCCCAGTTGATGGATGTGCAACATCATTTGTTCTCTTAAAAGGGGCAGTTTGTTACTTGCTAAAGAACACTCCAGCTGCATGTCCTTGGCTACATCTTAACAGGCTTTTAAAGGCACTCTGAAGTTTACGATTCTTTCATACAACGTTGAAAATATGTTTTTGTTATGTGGCATGGGTACAAGTAAAAGGCTTTTTTGTCCCTGTCTGGCTCAGGAAGATTGTCAACCATGTAGAACTGCATGTATATGTCATTATTGTAGTAGGAAGTCTTCTAAAAGGCTTCATTTAATATTTCAAAGAGACCTGATATTTGACATAATTCTTGGTATATCCAGTTATGTCCACTGCTTATGATGCAAATCGACAAACACACACTTATGTGTATGCATGTATGTATGTGTGCACGTCGGCTTGGCTAACAACAATACCTATTTATCAAATCGTATTCCTGCCAAAGCCTTAATAAGTATTTTAATATTTTATAAAGCCTGTGATTTAATGTGTGTACCTAAGTATATATCTGAGAATTACTGGAAAAACACATTATTAGTTAATAATGATGACCATTATTTAAGAAACGATAGAAAAAAGAGGTTTTATAGTTTACAAACTGGAAATTTGTACATAAAACAAATGGATGTCATTATAGTTATAGATTATGCTGTTGAACATACTCAGAGTATGCTTGTGTTAGTTCTTCCCTTTAGAACTTTTTGCTTTTGTGAATAATTTTACAATCGTTTGTCTCTGTTATTCTGCATTTGATGTGTTGGTTCTGCCAACGCATAAATGACTTTATATTACTACACATCCACAGTTTTTTTATTAATGGATTTAAATGCAATGACTTTCAATTTTGTGAGCCTTCATTGTGTCCTGCTATTATTTTGTGTATGTTATGTCCACATGTTGATACAGAATAGGAAACACTAATTTCTATTCTCTAGAGTTTTCTTTGGGCAAGAGCAGCTCATTCTTTGGATTTGTGTCCACACAGCAAAGTCTTAATAGAAGATTAAATAAGGTTCCGGAGGACTCTGTTCTTACCCCGTAAACATATCTGAAAGGGGAGGTATGAAGTGATTATTGCACATTTATTAAATCATCCATGCTCCCTGCTGCTGAAACAATAGTGTCATCAGAAAAAGGCCTTCCACTCGGGCCACAAAGCCACTCCAGCATCTGTGCAGACTGATAGTCATGGCTGCCAATAATGTTTATGCAGCACACTCATATCTTCAGTGCATGTTGTTCTAAAACCAGCCACATGAAAAGCTGATGAAGCTACTGTGGTGCAAAAGTCCTGCTCACTTCCCCGCATTCACTCTGCTGCCAACCGTCTGTCCTCCATGCATTGTTTCTGAGGGACCGTCTCTGGTTTAATCAAACACTGCCACTTGGTTGGGGATTTTTAAAGCTCTTGTCACAGAGCAAAGTAGCATGAATTTTATTTCGATTCACATATATCCCACTGAGGCTGCAAATCTTGGCGGCTTTGATGGATTTTCCCCCTCACTTTGTGATGTACAATCCGCTAACACTTGTAAGACAAGCCTCAATACAAGCTTTCTAAATATAGCTAATGCCCCAGCTAAAACACACTCAGCGGAAATGCATTATTGACGTTGTAAGGGCATTTCATTTGTCAAAAGTATATTGTACTGTAGGTATCAAAGTACCTTCCAGATGCATCAGCTCCTGTGTCTGTATTGTGTTATCCTCGTGCATTATCCCGGATATTTTAGGAACAGATCAGTAAGGTTCCATTCATCGATGGCTTTTACAAATGAATGGAATTATGGTGTTATTTTCCCAAACAGTGTTCCTCATTGTCCATTTTTAAAGTTATCAGGCATCCTTTCTCCTTTAATCATGTTTGAATTGTTCATAGAAATATGTACAATTTACTTTTGCATCCTTTTGTATCTGCTCCATCTCACACGCTCACATGAGAGTATAAATGACTTTAAGATTAAATTATTCTCTTTGTTTCATAAAAGAAAAAACTTTATGTCCAACAAATATGCTCTATATCACCAGTCTTAAAACTATTTTTTATGTTACCAGGAATTAATTATCTAACTTTATTCCAATTTTCTTAATTGGAAAGCTGAACATCATACATTTTTTCCAAAGAGAATTAATTGACAATTATTTATAAGATTCTACATCATGAGAAGCCACATCTAACTGGTTTGAAAGAAAATCCACAACAGTTTACATGTGTATTTTCTCTTATAAATGCGTATTTGACAAATAGTAAAAAAGATGCTGAATATCCTGACCTTTATGAGGTTACTAGAGGACTCCAGCTCGTGTTGTAGGAACTGGTGCAACAGCAGATGTGTCATTTTTCATTGTTTGTGAAGAAAAGGTTACACGATGTGAGGTCTGCTGCCAGAGCATCTGTGCTGCTGAAGTAAAGTGTTCCATAAAGCATAAATAGTCTGTTATGAGGAGACCAGCTTCAGTATTTATGACCCTGTGCGTCTGCCTTTGAAATAAGGAGCATTGAACATCTTATATTTGACTGAAAAAAAATCCTAAATAACTGAGAAACAGTCCAGATTATATTTTGACGATGAGATATTCTAGCACAACCAAAATATCAGCCCTCTGACGCACCACACTCTGGAAACTAAATAGAAACTTCTACTCCTGTGGTCTCATGAATTTAATTTGGTAAGCTCTACATTTTTAGTTTTATAGTCTGTAGTTGTTTCCAGTTAAGACTCATACAGCCAAAACACTTTCCACGTGATCACTGGCTAAACTTTGCATTTGCTTAGTTCAGTTTGATCAAAACTTTTAAATCCATGTTGTTGCACTCCTGAGATTCTCTTACATAAATGCATCCACAACTATACAGCTCAACAAACGACTGGCTGCAGATGCAACAGCACAGCCAAAGCTCTAAGAATGAATCTCAATGTTTATTTAGGGGTTTAACTTACAGAAGTGCTAAATTTCGTTGTTTGGACTTTGTTTTGTAAGGTAGAGCAGAAGGTTTCTGCTGTCTGACGGGATCATGGTTCAGTTCAGGCTGTGAGGGACATGATGGATGAGCACAGTGGGACTTTATAGTGATGACATTATTGATAGTTTGGTTCCATCATGTAGTCCCCTCAAATCCATACCATCTTTAAATGAACTTTCCTTCCCTTCTCATGAAGCATGTTCATATCGTCAGCCATCATTTTATTTTATATGCACATTTTTATTTTATTCTTTTTATATTGGGCTTTAGAATCTCAGCTGTGACTTTTACAGTTCAATGAAATCTGCAACAAACCTGTGCTGTCTTCCTTTAAAGATGCTGAGAGTGGCTTTAGTTTTGGATGAAAGCCTCTTTATTTACATTAATGGATTCATTTTGGGGTAGGGAAAGCTGCGGTTTTGTCTTTGTCAGAAGTGCAAACCAGCATGTTCAGGGAATCAAAAATCAAGTCTTTTTGACCACTGGTGTGTCCTCCTGGGCTGACCGGACCCAGCTCTGGCCCTCTCCCTGCCACCCCCCTAAAGCCCACCCCAGGACAAAATCCCCACCATCCTTTCTCATCATTTTTCATTGGAGGTGTATTTTTGTGTGAATCCCACAGCGGGTTCAACTTTCTTGAACCCGGACGGGGACTCTGGGACGGAGGCAGACAGCGAGCCTCAGCTGGCCTTTTACACTGACCCAAACCGCAGTCGGCGCCGGAGTCGAGGTATGAGAAATGGTAACGCCAACGCGTGGGGCTCTGGGGGTAAGGAGGACTCACACCCGCAGACAGTTCGTCCCGCTGACCGTACACGCATGTGAAGTCATTGTAGTGCACCATGGATGGTTCCACAGTTGTGTGTGTTCATGAATTCGTCTCCGAAAGGATGTGTGAAATTCCATGTACAGTACATATATCTATCTATACCGAGGTGTGTGTGTGTGTGTGTGTGTGTGTGTCAAATGTTCGCGAGCATGAAAGACTGATCTCTGAGCATCTCCAAACTATCTTGAAACCAAACAAGATGAAGAGATCAGAAGGTTCCTGTTGAAAAAGTGTACTGTTGGTTGCATCTTGCATTGTGAAGAACGTATTTGGAAATAATATTACGGACAAATATTATTTCTAAGGAGGATCTTGTGCAAATTCTGTCAAAGTGAAGTGTTGAGTATGCTTTATCTGTCAGCATGCCATGTCTTTGCAGCTTTGATGTACAGTAATGGGCTGTGGAAGAGAGATGGGGGGGGAATAATAATAAAGAAACAATGCCCTCAAAATAATAGCTGCTGTCAGAAGGTGTTACAAGCCTTTACAAAGCCTCCAAGCCAATTATCCCCCGTCATGCACACAGGTGTCACAAATGCGGCAAAGCCATCAGAAGTGTAACCAACACCTTTAATTAGAGCCTGGTTTAAGAATAGAGGGAAGTTGTTGGAACATTGTCCCAACTCTGTTGTTTAGATCCAGAGGGGAGGATGATTCATGAACCATGACAAAATGATTGCTTGTCAGTTTTCGTTTGACAAAAAATGAAAGCGGTGAAATATTCTCCCTTTTTGTGAAATTCAAAAGTGCCTTTAGATTACTTTTATGATTTTGCAAAAAAATCTGAAGGTAGACTTCAGGAAGTAAGCCAGAGAGGTCAGTAAGGTGAAATGATCCAGAGCCAGCTTCTGGTAAGTAACCTGATTAGATAAACTAGCTTGAAGCGCAGTAGTAAAGGTCAGATTTCTATTTAAATTTTGTTTAAAGGATCGCCTTGGGCAGCTTTTTTTAAAGAGAAAACTCTGCCAGAGCAATTTAAAAGTGACAATATGATATAGAATCATTCCGCCTGTGTAGAAGGAACCGTTTAAAACAAAGGGAAAGTGTCCACACTCAAGGTCACCGTGTGGTTTTTTGTGCGTGTGCGTGTGCATATATGCGTGTGCGTGTGCGTATATGCGTGCCCCTCTGGGAATGAGGTCACGTTCACCACTCTCTGTGTTGCGCTCTGGAGTAAAAGAGATGAAGCGAGAGTTTTCTCCCCAACTGAGACGAAGAGCTTTGGAACGAGGGGAGGTTGCGAAAAAAAAACAAACCTCAGAGCTGTTTTCCCTTTTCTTTTTCTATTTATGCCCGCGTCTCTTTTTTCCTCACACATCCCAGCATGGATGTTAAAACCCTTCAAAGGTATAGACCTTATGTCTGTGCCACTGAGCCATGCCTGGTGGAGCCTCCCAAAGGCTCGATGGTTCTGATCCAAAGGTCTTTTCATGGGTGCAAAGCCCTTTTTTTTTGTCCGTTTAAAAAAAAAAGCAATCCTCTGTAAGTAGTGTGTGTGGATGTTTGCACGTCCGTGTGTGTTTTTATGGTTTGAAGGGGTTGTGTGGGAATAGATAATGCTTCACAGAGTCCTATAATTTGCTGCTCCCCTCCCCCCTCCCTGGCTGTGTGTCTGTTCCCAGCAGCAGGGTCCCCGCGGAGCCCCATCAATAAGACCACCCTGACCCTGATCAGCGTCATCAGCTGTGCCCTGGGCCTGGTCTACTCCTCTCACCTGTCCTGCAGCCTGTCTGTGCGGGTGATCCTGCACGTGCCGGAGCACCTCATCGCTGACGGTAGGGTGAAGTGTCTGAAGCTCACAGTAAAGCTCACACTGTTCTGTTTGTAGAGCAGAAAACACATTCCTAAAGTAGAGTGTAGGGAGGATGGTCAAGCTATGGAGGAAATATAGAGATGGCTTGGCCGAGGACAAAAAAGGAGATGTTCATGTTCATGATAGGGACAAGGTAGACCCTAAATGTACATCTGGAGGGAGACGGTCTGATGGTGGACCAAAAAAAAAAGGCAACGGTTTATGATCTGGATAGAACCATATTCGGGCTGCACATCTGGAGGAAAACAGCCTGACCTAAGGCAAGGAGTACACCAGATATAAGGGCAGACACACCCAGAGTAGGACAGAGTTTTCTCTGAGACCTCTCCAGACTGGATGCATCAGTCTGGACCTCTGACTGGGACCTGGCTGACAATAAACTCCTCTTTGTTCCACCAAGTTCTGCCTCAGTAGAGTTTTTCCTGCAGAACCCCCTCTGAGCTTTTTGAAGACGATCATCCCATAATTCACCACCATGGCTTCAGACCCCCCCTCCACGGTGGAGGCAGCCTTTAGCTAACAGCCTTTCTGGAGGCTCCACACACCGGGGGTCTGAGCTGGTATTTTTCTGCAACCCTCCAGAGAGTTTAGCCGTTTTTATCACTCGATCCGAGCGTCCGTGTCTGCAGCTGAGCCTCAGATTTGCTTTGTGCTCAGAGACAAAGGTAAATGCCAGGTCACCCCCCCCCTCTCCCGGGGTGTCCGATACCTCTCCACAGATGTGTCCTGAGAGGGTCCCAGCCCGCGGAGGCCACCTGTAGAAACCCATCT